TGGCCAGCAAGGTCCACCGCGTATGCATGGTCCGCCGATGGGTCCTGGACCGGGACCGCACCATCCTTTACCTGGGCATCCTAACCAAGGTCCACCACCTCCTGGTTATCAGCAGGGCCCATGGAATGGGCCAAGACCTAATGGTCCACCTGGACCACCAAGAGGCCCAAGTGGACCTGGTGGTCCACCTCAACAAGGACCACCAGGACCAGGTCCTGGTCAACATCGGCCTCCAGGAATGGTATGTAATAGAGCTTTTATTTAATTATTCAATGTAATTGTGTGCATGTAGTTTGTCCTTTTGTTAATAATTATACTTTTTCTGAACCAATTTTTTATATCTATAAAACTTAATTTGTATTGCAAACTTGTGTTTATAGTAGTTGTGGGACTTTGCTTTTAACATAAGAATAGAAGGTAACTAAGAACGATAAGAAAGGAGATAAGAATGTAATATGTAATTGTCTAATATAATTGTGTATTATATAGGGTGTTTGGCTACAGGTGTAAAAATATTTAAGAGGTGATTCTTAAAGTTAAAGTAAGACGAAAATCAAGAATTAAAAAATTGCATTTTTCGGCTTTGTCCATTTATTAATTATTTATGGAGGCAAAGGTTTAGGGGAAATATCAACGCTGTCTACTCGAAAATTCCATGAGGCGATTTTCGATATGTTGTTGTGGATTTTAGTAAGTAGACAGGTATAATGTTTAATCTACGATTTTTCTTACAAAATGTTGCGTAGGATGGTTTAAGTCTTCAAATGTCATAATCTTCTCTACGATTTGTGCAAGGTAAACTACTGCCCATGTATTGTTGGATTTGAGGATACCTGTGGACCCCACTGCTTAGGTTGACCTACTTTCGTTTGTGTAAAGAGATTTTCGCTCGTGCAGACATATTTCGACTAATTTTTAATTGTCAATAACTAAAAGACAAAGTTGAAAACGCAATTTTTTAATTCTTGATTTTCGTCTTACTTTAACTTTAAGAATCATCCCCTAAAATCTTTTTGCATCTGTAGCCAAACAGCCTGTGTAGCTTCCCCAAAGCTATAGAAAAATAACTATAGAAAAGAAATTTTTTTATTATTCTTCAGATAATACTTGATATATTAATTAGAAATTTCTGTTAAAGCTACTCATTTCTTGGTTTTTACAATTTTATGATATATTTTATATAAATCGATAAATTATGGTACAAATTACAAGAATATTTTTTGCACTTACATGTCTTACGCTTCGCGTAAACAGAGTTGTACTAGAGACCTTTCAGAAGCCAGTTACCATATACCACAGGTAACACACAATGTGTTGTTTTTCCTGCTTTTCACGTTGTAAAAATTATCCATTCTTCAAACTTTTCAGTATTGATTTGTTTTTATACATAAAATCTGATCGAACACTATTAAAATTAATAAATATTAAATTGAAATTCTATTATTTTTAGAATTCTAAAATATTTTAAATTATACTTATATGGAAAATAAGATTTGAATTATATAAATAAAAAAGTCATCTAACTGCTATCTTTCAATATTTCCTAATTCAATTATCTTTCTTTTGAATGAAGCTGTATTTAGTTATATTTTGTATAAATTTCAAGTGTTAAAAGAAAATATAATATAAAAATATAATCTGTAAAATTTATTTCTTTGAAAATTACAACATTAGCAGTGCATGAGATATGTATAACATGAAAAGCTCTTTCAGAAATCAATAAATTATTTCATTTCAATCTGTTTAGTAGTTAATTAAATTTATACAGCACATTGAAAAGTTTTTGATAAACCAATAACTGGCTCTGATATTTTAATATTTTATCATTATTATTAATTACTTTATGATTATTGTTTAATAATAGTATTCGATAGTAACTCGTGTTATTGATGCATCTCATTATTAATTAATTTTTTGCTGTTATTTTCCAAGTATAGAGAATGATTTTTAATTTAATTATGGTAGATTGAAATAGAATCTTCGTTTGTCTCCATTCAGCAATTTCATGGTGGTCCGCCTGGTCCACCTGGTCAAGGACCTCCACGTGGTCCACCTGGACATCCTGGTGGACCTCCAGGTGATCCAAGAGGTGCTCAACCACGTCCCGAATGGAATAGACCACCAGGTTTGTTAAATATCTTGATTCATTATAGATTATATACTGAAACATCTTGGACTCACACGCTCTGTTCTTTCCTTCATTTCATGTGTCATTATGATAAAATTCTTCTTTTTCCACAGCTTATAGTCTGCATGATAAAGTAGATTATGAAAATTATCAAAATTACTATACAAAACAGAATATAAGGAACTTTAGTAATAAATCACTTCCAATAACAAAGTATTATGTAATCAAGTTTTTGTGAATAAAGTTCACTGATGTAATTATTCAATGTGCATAGGAATGCATCACGGGCCTCAGGGACCACCAGGTTTCCCTCAACATCAACATATGCAAGGCCCGCAACCTGGTCAAGGCCCACCACAGAGAGGACCTCCTCCAGGTTCTATGGGTGGTGAGAAATTTAGGACGTTCATTGAATATTAACAATATCGCTATTAATTTTTCTTATAATAATGCATGATATTGAGGGAAATTTTATGCTTAGGAGTATGAAGGTACAAGGTGTTTCAGATAAAAGTAACATAAACAACAATTCAATTTTTGTTGTTGTCACAATTTCAATGAATATAAAGTATATAATTGAAAGTATTTTCAAATAATACTAAAAAAATAAGTAATAATAACATAGGAAAGAAATAGTTCAATTCGAATAAATATACTTAAAAGAGTAAAAATATATTATTAATATATATATTAAATATTAGAATATACAAAGAAAGATGGAAACTTGTCATAATCTTACAACATTGTGCAAGCATATTCTAAAGCAAAAAACATACTTTATCAAGTCAATCATACAATAAAAATTGTTTTGTGTAATGAAAAAATTTATAAGCTTGCTATACAGTGTTGCAAGCTAACAAAGATATTGATCAGGAATGTTACCAGGTCCAGGAGGTCCACCACCTGGTCATGGTGGCCCACCTCAAGGACCACCACAAGGACCCCCAGGAGGACCTGCACCACATGTGAATCCAGCATTTTTCCCACAAGGACCACCTCATCAACATCCAGGACAACATCCACCAGGTCCTCCTGGTCCACCCCATGGACCACCCCATGGTCCACCACATGGTCCACCACATGGTCCACCTCATGGTCCACCTCATGGTCCTCCACATGGTCAACCACATGTGCCACCTCATGGTTATGGACCACCTGCAGCACAGGTATATGGTATTCTATTTTATATTGTCCATTGTATTAATATCTTATATTATATTTCTGATATTATTTAGTGGCTTCACTATTACATTTCATAATACTACTGCTTTATTAAAATCTTAAAAAAATCAAGATGAATTATATATCTTACAGCCACCTTATGGTGCACCAGGACCTGATCATCGCCCAGAAGGTCCTCCTCCCCTTACAGAACAAGAATTTGAAGAAATCATGGGTAGAAATAGAACCGTTTCTTCTTCTGCTATTGCTCGAGCAGTATCTGATGCTGCAGCAGGGGAATACGCAAGCGCTATAGAAACCCTGGTTACAGCCATCTCTTTGATAAAACAATCCAAGGTTGCTGCAGATGATAGATGTAAAATTTTAATCAGTTCTCTTCAAGACACCTTGCGCGGCGTCGAAACAAAGAGTTATGGATCCGCACGTAGGGGTAAATATTTTATTTCTTACATTTAGAATAATAAAAAGTAGATGTATGTTTAATAAATTTTTTAATCACTTGCTATGGCTTTCATATCTCCTATGATTCTATCGAAATTAAGATTATTGTATTAGTTAATCTAGATTTAATGAATTATTTCAGAACGATCACGTTCACGAGACAGGGAACGCAGTCACAGAAGAAGACGTGAGCGTTCAAGGAGCCGTGACAGGGAATACAGAGAAAGAAGCAGAGACAGAGATAGAGAGCGTGACAGGGAACGCGATCGTGAAAGGGAAAGGGATCGTGATCGTGACAGAGAACGTTATTACAGTGAACCATATCCACGGGAGAGATCACGAAGCAGGGAGAGGGATCGTGAACGTGAAAGAGATCGCGAATATAGAGAGCGAAGCAGAGAAGAAAGGTAAGCTCAACATCTCATAATTATTTTAACTGTCACTACTGGATGTACCTTCTTATTCAATTTAGTCAAAAATTAACTGACAGTCGCAACTTATAACTGATAGCCCTCGTAATAATAGCCACGTATGCGTGTGATTTAGAAAAAGAAAATGAGTACGATAAGTCTATATTTATATAAAATAATCCGACGTTTACATTGTAACAGATCGTATATAACTATATACAGATTACTAAAATATATCATGCAATTTTCTTCGCAAATAGATATAGCATTATAGCAACGATATTGATCTAAGTAATATAAGTCCCATTTATTGTATTATATATTTTGCAAACATTTTCAATCATACTATTCAGAATATTGTATGCGGAGTTCATTCGAAACGTTCGATTTGAATACTTAGTTAAAATACCATTAAATGGTATGAAATTTGATAAAAGTGCAAGTAAATTAAACGAATTGTAACTGGTATTAATGATGTTTAAAAGAGAACGCGTTGATTTATAATGTGTTCAATTGTAAAATAATTAATAATGTGTGTCTATTTAAATACTAACCTATTTCATTGGGACAAATTTAACTGTCATTAAATATTAATAATTACTTGTAACATTTCTTAATATTTCCGTATTGTCTGTATTAATTAATTATTCTGGAAAAATTTATAAGTACAGACAAAGACCATAGATAATTTTACATGGTCATATAACAATAATTTATAAGACTCAAATATAGTTGATTTTATTAATGATAAAAAGTGAACTTAACCCTTTTGCTGTAATGTAATCTCAAATCTATGGGTTATAATTCTAGAACATCTATACTTTACAAATAGATGTCCACAATTGAACAAAAAGAATCTGTTGTAATTATTATGTAGAATAAGTGCGACTGAGTTAGTTACTGAAAGGATATTGACTCTAATCAAGCAAAAATATTTGCTTATATTGACAGCGACAGGGTTAAATAAAATTAACGTTACTTTGATACATTAATTGTTATTGGGCATTTCAGATCTTGAATATTTATATATTTTAGTATGATATCTTTTTTAACAATTACTAAATATTAAATAAAAATCTATTTAAATGAAAGTACTTCTAAATTTTCTCTGCTATCAGTTAAACTTTAACCCTTTGGGGACGGGACGGTTCGAAGTTAACCGTACCGTGAGACCGAGCTGTTGTCGCGATAGTCATTTAAAATTGCCAACGCGCATTAGATGTGCTTTTCGTTCATAGATGTCAAATTCTATACATATGTACATGCACAGATTCTCCACAGGATAAATAAAATGTGACACACATATGAATCCTTTGGTTCTATCAGTTGTCTTCTCCAAACGCGTATATGAGTTTCTCGCCCTTAGCGACGCGTTTACGTGGAACACATATATGAGTCGTTCGGTTCTACCAGTTGTTTTCGCCAAACGCATATATTAGTTCCTCGGCCAAATTGATGGTTTACGCAAACGCATATATGCAGCGGTAGTCCGCGAAGGGTTAATTTATAAGAATTCAAAATATTATTAATCTTTAATCTTTGTAAATTATATTGGAGATGAAAATGTTAATCACAAGGATATTTTTTTATCAAAATTTTAGACATTCATAAAATGTGAAAAGTAACAATTAACGTATCAATTAAATGTTTTTTTATTATTGTATCAGATTGTTCGTTAATGTCTACTTTTTTAATCTACTACATAAAATTTGTTAAAAGCATTAATCAGAAACAAATATTATATTATTATAATAGTTACTTGATACTTTGAAAGCTAAAAGTGGACATTATTCTTGAAACAATTAAGTATCTTGATTTAGGTGCTCTGCGTTATTATTGAGTGTAAAAGTGACAGGTAAATTATAAATATTGAACTCCAAGGACTGTTATTATTCCTATGTTAGCTTCAATTTGCTGTGCATATGATTATATAATGGTAAATATTATTGTTATAAAGTTCTAATATAAGATGATCTTCTCATTAGATAACTCAAAAGCGATGCCGCCATCACATTCTCGTTCCCATTCTTATTTTACATCTATATGTCGGAGAAGGAAAGACAGCGGGATTTCTCGTCCGGAATGTTGGGAAAAACCCCAATACACTAATCCAGACTTTTACTATAGCCGCCCTTAAGTAATAAAAATAAGAAATAGTCTTAATCTTCCAATCTGACTTTATGACGATGGGTTTGGGCTTGAAATGACATGGCAGGTCACCGGACGTAGCCACGGTCCACGGGAGGACTAGTACCTGACAGAGGTATGAAATGATTATATGGCTCTCCTTAAAACAAAGATTAACTCGAGAAGTGGGTACAGGAGTATATAAGGGCAGCCTCTTTCGGATTGAGGGAGTTAGAGTGAGAGTTAGAGTTAGGTGGTTAGTGAGTCGTTGGATGAATTGCCGATGGAGTTATCGGGAAGTTACCCGAATCGAGCAGCACGTTGATACTAGTCCTCTCGTGGACCGTGGATTCATTATCGAACCTGAATTCGTTGTCACCATCATCTCGACCATCCTATTACCATTACTCGTAGCGTCTGGTAGTGTTCACATTCGTACTGATAGAGATTGGCTACATTCGCGACGGTAAAGTAAGTAAAGGTTCATCGAACGCCCCAAAATGCCAACCTGACTCCGACATATATATACATATATTTACCCTATTTCAGTGGTATCAATTTCTATTGATATTATAAATCATACAACCGGTATTGTTATTGGCGATACTGTTTTTGAGTTAATTAACGAGAGAGTCACTAAACAGTATAATGAAAATATAAACGTATTCATCTTTTAATAAATCAGTTCTTTATAAAAAAATTGTAACACGTTATTATGATTTCAGTATTTAACAGTAACCTAAAATATTCGAAGCAACTAAATACAGTACAAATTTATTTCATACTTTTTAAAATGTTATTAAAACATTGGCAGAAATACAAATTATATTTAAAAGATGCTCAGTATATATTGGTTAACATAGGAAGAAATTGATTGTTTATCAAATAGTACAAAAAAAATCATAAAGCATCCTTATGTTTGTTTTAAAATAGCAGACATTTAAAATCTTTTTCGTCCTAATATCATCAATCAGCGATAAGTAGTAACCACAAGTAATCACTATTGATTTTCATTAGTTATGGTTTTAGAAAGTAACAGGGGCTTTTTTTATGATAGAGAAACTGAAAACATTGTGATCTCAATTTTTAAACAATATAATATTTTAGGAACATTTATATATAATAGTAATGTAATTTAAATGATGCAATTGAAATAACAATTCTATTTGCGAGTTATAAATTTTATTGTAAATTGTTCAAAACTTTAACATGCACTAAAAACGACGAGATTGTAACTTTTTTAATCTATTTGTTTATTGTTTCTGGCATATTCAATAGTAAGTGAGACTGAAGTTTCAAAGATGAAATAGCCAACAATAAACGAAACTTGCCCATAATTGAAATGATTGGAAGATTTGTAGATTAAGGCGAACATCCGTTCATTAATTAAATATTAGAACAGATTTAAGGAATGTTTGCATCTACATTTTTATTTCATTTTTGTAAATACGAGGGAAGAAATGAACTTTGTACTCAGTATCAATGATACTTCTGCAAGTTATTTTTGTCACATGATATTTGAAGTGTGTGCGTGGATACACTTAGAGTCTGAATCTTATTAATTTACATCAATAAAAAGATAAAGGTTGAAGCTGTGTAACAATAGTTTTCCTTATACAATTGACAATTTTGGAATGTAAACAGATGTTAGCTTCTTCTTTGAGATAAGTCATACAGTACATTCAATACAATTGTTCCCTCTTGTTCCTCCTGTGTAGTTGTAATCTTTATTTCCAAAGTCGCCATTGGAAAAAGTATGTAAAAGAATGTGCATATCTTTTTTGTAGATATTGCTTTCTATTCAAAACACTTCAATATGTTTCATAGAGATATTGTAAATGAAATTTTTGCCAGGTATATTTAAGATGTGATAGAGAATTAAATATTTAATTTATGAACTACATCTATTGGTATTTTAAAAAATTACTGAGTTTTGTCTAGCGATAGAATTATTGCAGTTATTAATCCTAACAATTCGTAAGATTAACAGTTCATGAATTAAATAGTCAGTTTCCATATATTGTTATCTTTAGTTATTTATAAAACATGAGTAGGAATGATTACAATTTTACTTTATTTATTAATCTAGCATATTCATATCATGATATACATATCTTGATATACATAATGTAAAAATACTTACAACGTATAATTACTATTTATATATTAAGATGGTTAAATGCTTCTTCAATTTATATATTATGTTAATATATATTAACACAAGATCTACACTTATCCACAGAGATACTGTAATATTGATTCTAATATCAAGTTGATATATGTACAGATCTACAAATACTTTACTACAGTAAAGTAGTCATAATCCTGAAACCATAAAAAGAAATGAAATCTATGCAACACAGTTATATCTTAGAAGAAATTATCTTCTATTTTTTCATGTTTTGAAGTCAGTTATTCTTGTTTCATTTTGAATATTCAAATATGGTTACAGGTTTAACAACGAATCTCAAAACTTCTTTGAATATATATAGTATTGTACACATGCACTTACATATAACTGGTAACTGTAGTTAGTATTATTTCAAATAACATATTGACATATCTTCTAATTTAATCTATATTTCAATAGAAAAATGCTAAAAAATGGTTGTCTTTTATATAAGCATTAAGTCGTAGAGTAAGTTTACAATTTATTATAAATTTTTGCTCGAATAAGTGATCGTTGCTAAATTATAGTAGACTGAAAAAGGAAAATTGAATATATTTCTTAACATAGCTTATTTTAACTAAAGAAACGTATTAAGCCTGGTAACAGTATAAGTCATAACGAAGTATGCATATTTTCCATTAGTACGACACGTCAGTCAGCCAGGCCAAGAGTAAAAGAAGAACCGCCAGAGACGGCTCCCGTCTCGTCTTCCAAGGCGTCTAGGTAATTTACACTTTTTTTTTCATTAAAGTGAATGCATGTAGATCTCATTACAAAGTATTATCTTGTTAGATGCAAAACAACAAATTAGAGTTATTCTTAAAGAGTTTGATTCAGAATTCATGTATTGATTATATTATCCATCATTTCATAAATAGGAATATTTTAGAATTTAAATAAAAATTTCGTAAATAAGTGGGAGAAAGAAGGGGGAGAATACAAAAAATATAAGAAATAGACAAATAAGAGACAAGTATAAAGAAAATGTTTCAACTCACTTTTGTTTCTTCACATGCATATAATGATGAGAAAAGGTATTAAAAGTTATAATTCTATTAGAATATCGCACGAATTCAGTGAATCTTTTGCTTTCTGACTACAAAATCGTTTATTGCAAATTGTTGGAAAATTTAGATAAATATTAGTTTTCCTTTGTTATTAAAACTTCTTGTTAGAGTAATGTGTTTAGTTCTTGAAGTTATCAGAGACTTTTTTATGCAGTAAATTGTCTCTTCTAAATGCTTGGTAATTTTTTTCCTTTCTCTTAAGCCTTTGCAATAAGTAAAAACTTGATCGCAAAAATCGAAATGTTAATAGAGAGCAAGGAAACGAATAAAAAAAAATAAAAAATTATCATGAACGAAGAAGGTAGGGTACATTAGAGAAAGATACATAGCGTATCAAAGAGTCCCTGAGTTAATGTAAATATATCTTAAGAAGGCATAGAAAGAATTAAAAAAAGAAAAAAAAGCAAATTAATAGTGTACACCGGTAAAGTAAGATAATTGGCTGACGTGTACTTGTGTAGGTATTATGACGATCGCTACAGAGAGCGTGAACGAGACAGAGATCGAGAACGAGAGTCGAGCCGAAGACCATCCGAGAGAGAACGAGAACCGGAGCGTGAACGGGAGCGAGAACGAGAAAGAGATCGTCGCGACGAACGTGGAGACTCTTCGCATCGTTCAAGGCATTAAAGGCGATTACGTGTCGGAGAGAATAAAGAAGAATTCTCGTTTACAAAAAAATCAGAAATAACAGAAAAAACAATGAGAATAAAAATACAGAAGGGCCAGAAAACGAGGAAGAGGTCACGTCTTAGCATGCAGTGTTTGCAGGATCTTACCGGTCATTTTCTTGCAAGCGTCATTGAGAAACGGATCCAAGAGGACACTCATACACGTTTATCTCTTGAGAGCACATGCTTATCTTCTGTATTTTGTCTGAATATCAGTAGTATTTAAACACTTTCTCGGCTGAACAGGGAAACCATTGGTTTCGAAATGAAAGAAACACAGTGACCTTGCAATTAATTAAATTTTTTGATAAATCTATCATGATTCCATTTATATATGATCGGTAATTCAGAGCACCTTTCGATACAACAGATTTAGTCTTTGTATTAGAAGTATAGATAACCATCTTCCAGTTATTTGTTTTACATGACAAATAGCTCTGTACTAGAGGTCTGTAGTTTATGTGTATTTAATATCTATGTGTACACGTGTATAAACCGTATTTGTATGTTTTACCACGTAATTTTTAGTACGTGTTTATCTGTATATTAGGAGTATCTAATTCACGTATGTTTAAATATCCGGGTACACGCGTATTGATGCATTCATATTCTAACGTACAACTTGGAAGTCTATATTTAAAAAATTTTGTTTTATACACTTATTCTTGTACTATTGTATCTTATTAGTAGAATGGTTATTAATTCTTAAGTTTCATATTAAAGTATAAGATCGTGATCAATCACAATTCCCTTTTTTTATAAACATTTAAAATTCTAATTATAGGGAATTAAGAACATGAATTTTGTATTTCCTAGTAACATGCTACACGTGTCTGTTTATTGCACGTTTAGGAAACTATGACCTCTAGAATTTTTATCAGCTGCAACTGAATGACTATGTTATGATTGTATTAAATTATAAATATCTATTTTTAGGTGTGCTTAGATACATTTATCGGTATGTGACGAAGCATCTAAAAATAGAGAATCTCGGTCGAGAAAGTGGCGAATCCCAATTATGTTTCGATAACATAAGTTGCAAGTCTCTGTGTAAACTTTCGACAGAGTTCCGAATCGCGAGCATTTTAGCCAAATTACTACGGGTGGTTTTGTCATAGGGGATTCTTAGCAACACGTTGCATGGGTGGTTGATCGTAGAATTTGACATACAGTTTCTTTTTGAGTCATCGATGGTGTTGTTTTTTTCTTTTCTTTTTTCTTTTTGCGTAGCATACACTATCATATTACTAAATATTATTACACTAATTATAAAAAAAACAACAAGAAAAACTGATAATGAAGCTAACGAAAACGCATACACCACATATGCATATATACATGTATATCTATGTAACATTTAAGCAGAGAGTATTTGTTTAGTTTTCAGAAAAAAGTAGTGAGAGTGAAAGAGCGAGAAAGAGAGGGAGAGTATGTGTTATTCACGAATAAAAAAAAAGAATAATGATAATAGCAACAACAAATTAACAAAAGGAAAAGGTGGCGAAAGCACAACGAAAGTTTCACGAAGAGTTGTGTTCAGTTGCGGTTTACAGAGAAGCTGAAGAAGAGGCTTGCGCCGCACCTATCGGCGAACGGTGTTGTGTTTGCCGGTTGCCTCGGGGAAGAATGAAGATCACACTCTGGACTCTCATCATCGGTCTTCTATCTCCGCGACGATGCAAGATTGTATCTTAACTATAATATATATATACGCTTTCAAAAAAATATACGTGATAAACATGTCTTTACTTTATTCATCAGCACACACAATCTTCCTGATAAATATGTTATTTTTGTTTTTGTGCTATTGCATTATTCCATTTATTAATCGAAAGGTGGAACCAATCGAAAGACGCATACACGGCATCCGATTTAAACACTTTCGATCTCACCTTTAATTAATTTATTTCTGTACAATTTTTGATGTTCGTAACAACGATCGATTGGGGATCGAAAGTGTATGATAACAGGGGTGGAACACGATATTTTACATGTAAAATAATGATTATGTTCCCCATTATATTCTATGATATATACTAGTCTCATCCATGAAATTGGAAGGATCAATGTCAGAGTTATATATACTCTCTGATAGTTGAGTGTTTGAAAACTAACTTATCAAAACTACCCAAATCTGTTCATCTAAAAATAATAAAAATTATTATCCTGATATGATCATAATTGTGTTTATTAATTGTAAATAAGTATAGATATTCTAAGATCATCGACTTGGGTAATTTTGGTAAATTAATTTTATGTAATAGTGCCATCTTATTTTTCACTGTTTAGTTGAAACGGCATAGAAAATTATTTATAACGATACATAGTATATTGTGAAAGCGTAACACATTCACGGAACGACTTTGTTTGAATTGTCAAAAAGGTCCTGTGTATTATTTGAAGAAAAGAATTTCTCTCCTGTGTACGCCCTTACAGCGTACAGATTAATCCTCGTATAATCAAGGTCTATGTAATTAAGAGTTCTATGAAGAATTATGTTTACCTCTTATGCACTTGAATGTAGAATTTAATATACATAAAAATATCATAAATATGATATTGCGTTCGTCAAATGTTACACATTTTGAAAATATGTATTTTAAATTCAGTAATATATTATGGTGATCTCAATTCTTGATTGTACGAGGATTAGAAACTAGAAAAGTTAGTATTCGTGTGCAGTAGCAGAAACTCTTTCATGTTTTAGAAGGATCGGTATTACTGTATTTTTCTATGCTCAAGCATGATGTTCTTAAGACTTAACGTCCCTCTTCCTTGTATATTTAATCTTCATTTTTATGCATCTTTTCCGACCTGAAACGAGAATATATCATCTTATAATTTATTTTTTAGTCACACGTTATATGTATTATTTTTTAAGTAATATGTTATCCGATCGCTATAGTTAGATGTAAACTAAACTACGAAGTTGTAAAAGTCATATACTACAAGCACTGAATTACGCATGAAAGAGTTGAGAATAGCTCAAAAGAAATTACAACTAAATTGAACACTATACATTCGTCCTCTCTAAGAGAGGAAAAAGTATCAAAAGTTAAGCAAAGACAGCGAGGGTGGTTCACCTTTCGAATGGATTTTTATCAGGGATCATTATGAATGATGATAATATCTTAACTCTAGCTTAATAATAGCTCTGTGAGACAACGTTGTATGTATATATTAATTTTTATCATGTATCGCATAATCATTCGTTGTTTTAGCAGAACCCTCGACGGTCTTCTTTCATGTATAACAAATTACTATATAAGATAAAATGAAATGAATTTTATACATATATAAAATATATTATATATATATTATATAAATTATTATATATTATTATATATTATTATATAATTATATATATATATTATATAATATATTATATAAATATATATAAATATATGTATAATGTACGCAAACATATAATTTCTTATATTATAAAAATTTATTACATTTTTAATATTTATGAAATGATTTTGTTGCGCTACAATTAGCGATATATTATTATTATTTCTATATGCTTGTGGAAGCTTAGCTGTATAACTTTAGTTTATTTCACTTGGTATAAATTTTTAACCAGAAGCGTCATGTTTTAGAGAGAATGAAAAGGGAAGAAGACCGCAAAGGGCTGAGCATTTGGTACCTTTTAACAAGTACCAGGAAACGGATGATGGACTCTCACAGAGCACAATACCAGATAGTTAAATTCTCAGCAACAAAAAAGAAGGAAAATCCTAATAAATTTTTATGTTGTAATATACGAGACCAGTTTGCATGATCACATACATATACACATACGTGTCTCGTGAATGATTATGTTTCGATGTGCCATTTTGAAGTAACCATATAATGGTTAACTCGACCATGCAGCTAGAAATAAGAGACACTGCTGGATGGAGTACGATCAACTCATAGTCCAATTGTTTGAGTTTATTCATGCTTTGATCCTTTGTGATTCAGTGTTTCCAATTTAAGTTAATTTATTTTATATTAGTTTTCATTATTGTTATATCTATGAATTATAATTTGTCAAACACATTTTCTATAAAATTAAAATAGAATTGTTTTTATCATTAATTTAATTCTTGTAAAAGTGATTTACATAACATATTTCGTTATCTGATACTGGAAATACAATTTATTTTCGTAGGATAATTTGGTAAAATGAAACAAGTATATTGCTCAACATAATTGAAGAATAAATAGTAATTACTATTAAAGTAAAGAATTGCAAAGGATTAATGTAAAATGCTTTTTTCACTCCTACTTATCTTTATAACTGAAAATTCAATATTTTTGCAACAATCAGTCTAAAAATCCGAATACAATGACTACATTATTTACAAACAGTATAGACAATTCGACTATAAGTATAGTTCTTAGAAAGTAAAATGTATAAATTGTAGTTCTTATGAGAATCATCGAGCTGTACACATACTGCAACAAAAGCCTGCATCTCCTGGATTTGTTAGCACTGTGTGCGGCTTTCTTTATGTATAGATTTTTTTACTGCGATTCACCAACCAGAAAGATATTTTACTATAGCTCAGTCATTTCGTCTTCGATTCCTATGTTATGTTTAAACGGTGATTTTTCGACAGAATAATTAAGGACACATTACTTTAACTTATCAGGATTAAAAAGAAATTTTTATCTTCAATTCAGCGCAGGTTCCAACGATTTCATTGAGGCATCTAAATAATCGGAGTAATTATAATATTATTTTTTCTGTCATTTAAAATTGAAAAAGAAAAAAGTCTGCATTGCATTCTTACATTACAAATATGCGACAAGTATTTTTTTGTGTATTAATAATAAGAATTGTCCATTTAAAGCGCAATTTTAAGGTGACAAAATATTGGTGTTTGTAAGGTATTTGTCATTTTCTAATTTTTCCTTATTTTTTTTTTAATGTGAAAGAGATATTGTTTCAAAGAAAGTTAATGATTGTTTATAGAAAATTAAAATATACTGACGATTAGGTAATCTTATTTTTAATTCTTTTCTTTTCTTGTTTTTCAATTTTATCGTCTAACTTATGGTAATTAGTGCTGAAACTATTTCATAGTCTTAGTGGTAGTTGCGTTTTAAATGAATAGTTCTGTATTTGTTTCTTATCAAGAGTACAAAGAGCTGTGAGATATTTTTATCTGTAGCTTTATTTTTTAATGATTTATATTTAACGACATTCTATTTATAGAGATCATATTTTGTTAATAGAGGTCTCGGTCAAGTGACGCTGTGAATTATAGGACTTATATAAACAATCATACGATAACACGTGAAAAAGGATAGTTTCAATTTTTTGAAACGCAAAGCGCTTTGTACTGAATAGTATTATTATACAGAACTATTACAGTTCTACGTGACGATATCAAATAATGCGATTAATATCAAGAAAATTTTATAAAAGCTAAAAGAATCACATTTCTGTGAATCTACACAAATGATTGTTAATATTTAGTGGTCTTAACGAAACCGACGAAAATCTTTTGTAATGTTGTGAGAGCACTATAAATCTAGTAACAACTTTTGTAAGTAAGTATTATAATGGCATATTTAGAATCATGCAATGAAATGCATAGAATTCTCAATATTTACAATTCATGATATTAGTATAGTTTTTTTTAAATCATTCAGAATTATAAATCTGAAACATGAAAAAGATTAATGTTAATTTAATAGACAAACATATAATTGTGAATTTATGATCAATTGTCAAGAGAAATTAGAAAACTCTCAAAGAGATAAATTGATGTTAAAAGAAAAATATATGTATATATATAATACATATTTAAACTATATCAAAAGTTACAACTCTTTTCAATACAATGGAATTTTAAAGAAGTCAATAAATCAATAATAGATCTTTCTATAATATCAATGAAATTTTTGTTGTATTATCAAGATTTATAAATGTTTTAAAATACTTAGAAAAATACAAACGACACAGGCATTAGATATATATATATATACTACGAATTTTCTTCTGTGATCTCGTAAAAACGTTTAAGAAACGTTAAAATATGCACAGAATATTGTAAAGTTTTACAAAATCAAATATTTAGTATTCTAATAATTTTCTTATTAGTACAAAATTAAAATCTTAAAAATGAACAAAAACATTCTGTGTTAATATTATAGAGTTTTAAAGCATTTGTTCCTGAAAGATAATAGAAAAAGATAACAAAAATAAGTGATAGGAATGAGCGGTTTATTAATTATAATTTATTCAAATTCGGTAACAACATATAATGATGCGGATTTTTAGTGAACGTAGGGGTTTAAAAGAGTCTATTTTCCGAGTATGCCATGCATGGCGCCCTTTGCACAACAATTGCTCGTTACGATTTCTTCTTTACGCATACATACATACATACATACATATATATATATATATACATACATACATATATATATATATATATATATATTGTTGTATAACGTACCACTTAAACCTGTTAATATTTTACTAAGTCGAAAATAGAGATTGCCTGGAGAAATGTGTATGGAGTTAATGGGTAAGTGTATAATATCACAGAATACAGCTTTAAAAATCGATACCTCCCATGGATCACGTTTGTTTTTGTACGTTTATCAATAGTCTACATTTATATATACATATATACGTATACTTCCAGTCGATATACGAGCTAAAATTTTGTTCAGACGTTTATATGTTACCCTGGTTTTTCTGAGAGCGTATCAAGTAGTTAATTGCTTTAATTGTGTAAGCAGGAATAATTAGTCCTACAAGAATCGAAGCTAAATTCGAGAATTCAAGTCACTAACATGTTAACGATTCAAGATGAAGGAAATTTTCTTCTAATTTAAACAAGAAAATTTGTGATTTTACACATTTGTTTGTTGTTCTTAGTTAATTAATTAATTAACATGCTGGTTTCTACTAGAGTCCTCGAAATTATCAATTTTGCGGATGTTCAAATTTCATCGATATAAAATTGATATTCAAGAATTCGAAATAAAAAGAAAGATAACAGGTAATAAATTGAAATTTGAGCATCGTTTTACGTTGATGATGGTCATAATTTGTATAAAGAAACATTGTACGATTTAATAAGATCGAAATTTTTGTGTACTTCATTACATATCGGTAAATTTGTCACTTTTGTATTATTCAGATACAAATTTTACAAATTCTAGTCACTTGTGCCTTTACCAAATTAAGCAAATTTTTCGATTTTCCAATTCGGAGTTTGTAGAAATAGTTGACGAAAAAATTTAATATCGTTCCCTCATGTGCTTTCAAAATCGAATCCTTTGTATAAGATGCTTTTAAAAAAAGTAATAATTATTCGTCAATTAGAATTAATTGCATAGAATGCAATTACGGCAATTATTGAGTTATTTATATTACAAAAAGAAAACGCAAGAGAGTTATATACATACATACATACTTTGCGAAATTTTACGCAACATGTAGTAGTGTATTGTTATATGTAAATCGATAACATTGTGTGTGCGCGCGCGTAGAAGTTATTTACATATAAATAATTTTACACGAAATCAATTCTTATCACGATAAATAAAATAAATATAATTCATATTTTATATCCTATACAAATATCAAGAAAGCAAAATATTTATGATTTTTGCATTAGATTCATTATATTATATTTTGCACACACTAAGAATTATAAATCACTATCGAAGTTGTAATATAATGATAGATTTAAGTATTGCGTGTCAAGAGAAGTTATATATCTTCCTAGTCAATTATGATCGTAGAAAAATCAATATTCCAATATCATAACGTATTGATCGACAAAATTGCATTTTTTGCGTGATCAAATTCATTGAGCGTAAAAAGGGGAAAGAAAAATATGCATTACATTTGTTACAAACAAATTACCATATGTCAATGTAATTCGAAATATTTAACAATATTTTGGCTCGTTACCGTAGAGTAAGGAATTTTAAATCCTGTTTTATGCAGATTGAGGCATTTTTAATAATTCTAAATATTTTTATCCTTCATATACTTTCTTTTTTGTTTTATTTAAATATATTTACTTTCAACAAAGTTGTGCAAAAGTTACGGAAAAAGTAGTTATTTTTGTTACCATATTACTATTATTTTAATCCTTAAGATATACTTATGTGGTTAGACCAATTTCTTCAATATAATGAATTTTGTTTCTATAATGAATTTTCTAATTTAAGGGATAATGTGATAATGAAGGAAAAATATATTCCTGACAACTTTTTAAGGGTCGAGGTTATGTACAGTGAAAATCTCACGACTCATTGTTTCAAAATGAATTTACAATGCACCCTCTTCTTTTTTCACCTTTTAAAGATACTTAAGACTACTATTAGAATGCAGCAAGTTTTTTGAAACACTCGTTTGTATAAAATTTTAGAATGTATATAATTTGAATATGCCTCATACTGCATAAATATTTTGGAATTAAATAATAAATATATCAAATAAAAGAGAAGGTAAGTGTCAAATTGAAATTGGAATTCCTTAATTATATCGTGTATATAGTTGGTCGTAAAAGGTACAAAAAAATTACGATACATATACAAATATAAAATAGTACATTATTTTCTAGAATAAAACTAAATTTTTGAAATTATAACAGTCTAATTCTTAATTTTTATAAATATTTTAACAATTTCAAGTCTTTTAATAACTAATTTAAGGAATGTACTTTACTTATTACATAAGAATTTTCAATGCTCAATTTTTATTCATATACTCCTTTTACACAAATACTAGTTTCTATTGTAATTTTTATTACTTGCTTATACAAACAAAATTGTATTTGATAAAATCATTACATTTCTTTATATCATAAGAAACTCAAAAAATCTATCTTTTAAATTCAACTTCATTGTTAAACCGCGAGATTTATCTGTGATAACAATTTGTATTTCGACAATAAATTTGTAAATACGCTTATATGAGTACGCGCAAACAAATTTTTTAAAGACTAGATATAGTGTGCAGTTTTTCATTCTGTAAACTACCTGAATGAGACTTTGTTTACACGTTAATATTTGTATCTTCTTTTACGAGATTTATTTGTATATATTTGTTGTGCATGTACAATTAAGAATGAAGATTACAGGCAGTGAGTTTTTTTTCTATCATACAATTTACATGGTAAGCGTGGCCGCAATCAAATATTGCGATTCCATTATTACCTAATAGAACTGGTGTTTGAAGGGATAGTGTGCAGCAAGAACATACAGATAATTTATTCTGATAATGCATTCCCCAATGATGCGGCCCATTCTCGAAAATATTTTTATTAATCGGTTTACTTAAGTCTTTTTCAAGAACTTCTGCCACTTGATCTCGAATCTGTAAAAAACATAAATTGTTTATATATAAATTATGGCTTAGTTAAGACATAAAAGATATAGATACAAACTGAGTTTTTTCTCTCTTTAATAAATATTTTCTGATGACCCAGAAGTCAATTAAAAAATAATAATTACCTTTGTAGAACATATTGTATTGTATTCAGATGACTCCAAATTAGTTTTATTAAGATTAACGGCATACTTCATCCCATGTTGATATAAAAGTTTTGTAAATACTAATGACTGAAATATACTGCAAAAAATGAAAATACTTAATTATTTTTACCTGATTCTATGCTTAAATGTTTAGAAAGATAATACTCACTTTCTATCAATAGGAACATTTGGAATAGCTTTCTCTAATTTTATTAATAATGTCATGGCAATATCAGGTCCCTGTTTTTTCATGATTTCATATATCACAGCAGTCCAGTTTATCCATTCTTCGTGATTTCCTCTTTTTATAGACTTTCTACAGAACAGACACTGTCCCTCTTGAATTTCTTTCGCGTATGTCGCTATATAGTTCCAATGTTTCCCATCCAATAAAGGTAAAAAAATGGAAAATATAATATTATCTCTAGTTTGAAGACATTGGCGTATTAGATCATTCGTCATTATACCATGCTGTTCTGTGTAAAGTGGCAAGTAATCTCGCCACATATAAGGTACTTTGTTACATAAATTTATACACTCCTCCTTATATTCATCTAACATTTTCTTAAGAAGGGATTTACCAATCCCCAGGAACTTTGGTTCTATTAGTTCATTTGTTGGATACACACTACCACAGGTACATCTTCTGCAGCTTTGTGCATTTACATTAACAAAAGCTTTTATTATTTGTTTTATAATATTTTCATTATCTGTAGATTGTATTAGTTGTATTGAAACATTTTCCAATAAAGAATTGAAGTAACATAGTTCTACGCTTCTTAATATTTCATATACAAAGTTCTTTAGTTCATCTACATTTTCATATGAATCTTTGATAACATTCATTCTCCAATCTATATCTAAAATTATTTTTTCTAAGTCTTCTTCGTCCATTGAAGGCTTAATATTACCAACTACCGTATATATAATTTCCAGATCTGCTTGTATTCTTTGTGTTATACTTTTGTTCAAATTCAATTTTTCTTTGGTTTCATCATGACCTTCTTCTATATCCTTGGCTGTATTGCAATTCGTGTCTTCATCCTTTTTCGTTTTATTATCGGAACCATCCAATAAATTGGTTGATGTTTTTTCTTTTTCTATGTTTAATTCGGTTTCAAAAAGCCTTTCATTATTTTGCAAAGAACAATAGGATACAGAATGAAGCCCCAAATTTTCCTCATCTTTCAGGTCTGAATTTCCGCAATTAACGACTACAATACCTGAATCTAATTTTTTTGGAATTATTTTTATATTAGATTCCAATAAAAGTATTAAAGGATGTAATAATGTTGACAATTCATCATCTTTAAATATCTGCAACCTATTCTCTATATCACAAACATTATTAATCTCAGTATTATTTACTAATTTTTTTAATTGTAGTTTATACATGAGGCATATCTCTAAACATTCATAATATTTCTTTTTATTATACAATCGTAATATTAAGGAATCTAAGAAATATAAAACTAAACAATGAAATTCCCCATCAGAGGTCATCAAATATATTTTATTCTCAATAGTTTCTGCTAAAGATATATTTGAAAATTCATTATTCCACAGTACCACAGTTGCAGTCAGGGGATCAATAATGTATAGGCCAGTAGAAGTATATGAAAATAAATACTTCTCTCCAATAACAGACAGATAGGAGAAATTAATAGATTGTGGCAGCCAGGTTGGTTCTGCTTGCTTTTGATAAACAGATTTTCTAATGCTTGGCCTACATATTCTTATAGGTGGAATAGCAAGTGCTTCTTTAAACTGATGAGTTTTCATTACTATTCCATTTGCAGACACTTCCCAAAGTCTAGATCCTGGTCTAGCACAAAAGATTTGAGGAAAATTTTCTTCTTGTATCTTACTGTTACCTTCTGCAATGAAATTAAAGGAACCCTTTTTATTGACTACTTTCCCTTCCTTTTGGCTGTCTGGAGCACTCTTATTCTCTATAAGGCATGTTTTATAGAAACAGGCACCAAATTCTCCATGCCGTGCTTTATTTCCTATTTGTTTATACTGTTCCTGTATTGTATCACATATGTAACAACGAGTCAAAGTTGACACTAATAATAAAGGTGATAAGAAATTAAGTTGTACAATGCTTGAATCTAAATTCATCAATGTACAAGTTGGTGCTTGAAACATGCCATTTACCTGAAAGATTATCATTTTATTAGTATTAGTTTACTCTTAGAACAATCTATATAAAACATAAAAGTTACTAATTTAGTAAAATATATGTTAATAACGTTTAAAATATTAAAATATTAAAGGCTTATACCGTAAAAATAGATAGTGCCATAACAGAAACTTTTCCATGCCCATCTCCAATATATACCTCAGAGCTATTATCATTCCAACACAGGCAGTTAACTCGTTTGTGAATGTGCTCGGTTGATATAGCTATCAATTTTGGCGTAGATTTTAGAGCTATTAGACAAACTATGCCACGATTTGTTGTCAAGGCAATCGTTTTCTCATCAGGTGATATGAGAATACGAGAAACTGCACCTTCCTGGTGTTATAAAGATAATAATTAGAAATTATCTTTTTTATAATCTTTTACATTGGATTGATATATAAATTATGTAATTTCTTACTATAGTACATTAAGGAAAATTTATGTACCGATAAGGGTATTAACTGTATAAATGAGCATGGTTTCCTTGAAAATAGATAAATACTGCCACTGGTTGAACCTAATACAATATAGCTGGAAGACGTATTGAAACATGTATACTGAAACATAATTAATTTCATATTACTCTCAAATTCTACTTTCATAGAAACAAACTTTTTGAAACTATTTTATTACAATTTTAAGAATACTACTTAAAAAAATAACAAGTATATATTTCTGTCCCATTTGAGAATTAAAAGAAAAACAGCATTTAGTTTAATTGGTTCTTACTATAAGTAGAATTTGTTATATACAATATATTTAATTCCATCTCACTTATTTAAATTTCTAAAACAAAATGTAATTTTCTAAAACAGATATATATGCTGTATGACACTGAAAAATAATTTCGTTTCAAATATTTGTGCAATTTCAAATTGTACTCCAAGCAATCGCATAAACCTTATTTAACAATAAACTAAATTAGAATGTGTATAATGAGTCGTTAAAAATGTAATTAGTAGAAACAACACAATATTATGATAACACATAACATGCATTATTGTGTTGCATAAGAATTGTTTTTCAACTTTAAAGGAATACCTTGATTCGTTGAGTTGAGTTGATAGGCTTGTAAAGAAGAGGATTTATTTCCTCGTACTCTGATAACACGTAAGGAAATTCCTGCATAGTCCGCAAAAGTCTCGTGCGTAACTTATGATGAGTAACGATAGTTATTACGCACGAGTTTTACGATAATTAACTCTGATAAACTACGTTAAGTTTTTGCATATAGGTTCATACACACATACACGGTTCACCGTGTTTCATACGTGACTGCGAGATATATTTCATATAAGATTTGCGGAGCATCGAACGTTTTCATATAGAGGGCCGTCCTTACTATTTAAAGTTACTTACATGCTATAAGCAGTGGTTGTCAATAGATTAATTATAGGATCGTTTTATTTAAAATCTTGTTACATTGCTTAGGTTTTATAAAGTTGAATAGAATGTATGTTATTTAATTCAAAATAGTCTACTTCAAACTTGGTCATTAACATTTTTCTGCCTATTCTGAACTCGAATTTAAATCAAATTTAATTCAAACTTAATTCAAATCTACCATAAATATATCCATTTCTTACGCATATTTTTGATATTAAAACTAAACAGCGGCCGCATATACAAAAAATTATCGAAGATATTATTTATTTAATTAAAATATTAAATATATACGATGAAATTAAACATTCAATATTAGTAAATTAAATTTACTAGTTTTTCACAATGTCATGTGTGGGTCAACATCCTAAAAAGGCATTTGGTTTTTATTATCATACAAAGAAGTAATATTTGTCACAAGTTATGAAACTGAATAAGTATATCATCATCTTCCTTTGCAGTCAATGTTTTCTTTCATTGGAATAGTCATTAATATTTTCGCGATTCTTGCGGAAGCTGTGACGTTTTACTATTTTCGAGATGTTTTACTATGTCCTTGATTGCAGAGGGTTTTACAAGATTTTCCATGCTTCCATGTATCAAAAGACGTCTACGATCTTCATTTTTTTTTGCAAGTACTTCCAAAAGCTGTTGATTTCTCTTCCCTCTATAAATAGGATGAATTGTCGCGTTACGTTTGACCTGTAATTTTTTATTATGTTGTTAAAAGATCGAATGTAATTTAATTTAATAAACATTTATTCAATTAATTAAAAAATATATATATTTAATTGTTTTACCTGCTCAAAATTTTCTTGATGGAAAACGATTGCTTGATATGAAGAAGTCCTTGGTAATATTTTATCATTTTTACAACCAATTATTTTTGTGTCCTCCAATAAATGATCACAAGACATAAAGCGTCGAGGTCTCTCCTTAGTTTTAGACTTTTTCCACTTTATCATGGACACAAAGAAATTTTTGAGCGACTTGCTTCTATTGAGTCTTTCTCTGAAAATACTTCTGTCTAAACTTCTCTCTTCCCTCTCTGAATGTATAAATATTTTTTCTAACGCATTTTTTTTGTGATCGTCTTGGTCGTTTTCTAAAGAATAGGAATTTATAGTATCTGTTCGATTTTGTAACTCGACCCGATATCGATTAGGATCGAACGAAGAAGAATCATAAAATTTTTTTCTTTCATGGTTACAGACTTCGATGTCATTTCTTGAACTGCAGTGTACATAACCTTCTTTATAATATTTTTTATTTGATTGTTCATTTATTTTAAAATTATTCTCTTGCTTATTGAAAGTTTCGTCTACTGATTTCTTAGAATTACTATTTTGTATATAGATTTCTAGGGAAGCTTTTTTTCTCGTTCCAATATTTGAAGATACAGGTAGGTGATATCTGGTAGGCGTTTCTGGTCGAGAATTCTGTATCTTGTTATCATCTTCCGAAGATACTTTACTTGTTTCTGTTTTCATATTTGAAATTGGAATTTCATTTTTTATCTTGTTAGAGTCATTTCTTCTGTTATATTTTGTAAAAAATTCGTCATTTGCTGTACAAGCTTTGTTCTTTCTTTCCAAAGAAGCAATTATTTTCCTCACGAAGTTTTGGGATTTATTCGCCAATTGCACCTCTTTTGGCTCACAAAACAAGTTTTCCCTAAAACATTTCTTTCTTACTTTGAAATTTTGGAAAGTATAGCTTGTGTATTTGTTTTCAATCGAAATAGAATTATTTTGTGATTTCTCCTCATTGTTTACTATTTCCGAAGTATCTGACGTAGGTTTCAAATGATTGCTTTCTGACTGTAGCGCCATCTTCTTCATTAGTTTTTATCTTTAAATTCAAAGTAATAACAGGGAAGGAATTTCTCTTTGGTAATAAGTACACAAATAGTATAGCTTGTAAATTTTTGATACTTTTTCACTTCTTGGATTCAAAATGTATTATGTTTGTGTCTCGACACTTAGAACGGTAATGACAACGTCTGTAATTTGTTGCTCGTTATTCCGTTAGGTGATAAATATGGTAAAGGTCATACACGCGTGTGTACTTCGGAATGTACACTTTATTTGAAATAGATTAATTTTTTCAGGTTCTTCTTATGTTGTTCTTAATCTTTCATAATATCAAACGAGGATGATACATTATTTGTATCACACACATACGCACACACAGAATGCACATATATAGTAATATAGAATGATTAAAATCGTTTGTAAACTATTAGCTGTGTGACAAAGTACATACAGAATAAAATTTACATCATTTCAAAAGAGATACGTATCTGCAAAAGTTTAAGGATACTTTCTGTCTTACATTATTTGTGTACAAGATTTTGAAGATTATTTTGTATTGAATAAAAGGCTGTCCATTGATCACGCTTTAGAATTTTGCAATCAATTATTCATAGCAATTACATAAAAAATAGTCGATTTGAAATTTCAAGCGTTCTACGACTTTCTGCTGTGTTATTATTCGTTCGCGTAATTAATTATAAAAATATAGATCTGTAAAAGCGATTTATAGAAAAGGGAATTTGTTTTATGTAATTCAAATATATATATATTGAAGATTATTTTTATTTTTGTTTAGATTTAAATTTATATTCTTTGCTTTATTTCTCCAAATCTACTTTTACAAAAATCATTATCACGATATTATTTTGTATTATTTTTAAAAGATTATGATCATGCTGCTATAACAAATATTGCTTCAAAGATGCTGACTTACTTCGCATAAGAAATATTTTACAAAATAATTTTACCATTACATTGGAATTCCGAAATACTAGAACTTTGTAAGAATTCTCTCTACAATTTTTCGTTAAAGAAGCATTACTATACTTTACAGTAGTAGACACTATGTACTGGATGGCAAATAAGTCAGTGTTAAAACTTAATCTTATAATTAAACATTTCATTGCGTTTTAATTTTCATTCATACATTTCGTCGCATTCGGGATTCTAATGAATCCATTGATTCTGAAATACGTTAGCAAATAATTAATTTGTAGTATTACAAAGAAAAAAAATTAGATTGAATTTTAGAAAAGAGTTTTGCCAGTATCTTTTTAACGCGAAAAAGTTAAAAAAAAGATTAATATAGGAACGTTAAAAGTGGTTTATATACGTAACTATTACCTAGTATTACAAGAATTTTTGTAGCTAATTTTCCATTAGAAAATTTCCAAATAAGTTCCTAGTCGAGACAATTTATTTCTATATAGCGATCAGTGACTATCGCCGAGTATCCTGGCATTTGTTCGAATCGCCAGAGAAAAAATTTTTCATTGAAGACATGAATAAATTGTATATATAATGGACAATACTATGTTTCATCAAACACGTACATTGAAACAATATCTTAAAATCCGCTTTATACACTTATGATTCGCATAGTTTATAGTTTTGAACATCACAACTGTGTCTTCACGTTGTCCTAGTCAGACTGAAAAGTATATTTAATGTAAAATAAAACTAGTTTACTATACTATCGATGCATTATTTCGATACTAATATCGATAGAACATCACTTCCAATATAACTTTTTTACAAAAAACTAGTTAAGTTTATCGGTAAAAAACAATCAAAATCAAATTCTTCATTTTCAGATATTAAACAATATTAGATAGATATAGGAAATACAGTTTCGTATGCATATAATATGCGTGAAACGATTGAAAATTCACAATTAAAATAATTCGTTATTCTAAGAGATTCGAGCTCGACTTGAAAGAGGAAGGCACATTTGAATTTCACGGAATGCCTACAATATTCAGACTTCGTTCATATCATTAGCAAATATAAAATCACATTATTTTGATCAATCACTTGCTTGCAATAAAAAAGAAAAAAAAATAGATCAAAGTTGAATTGCAATGAATTTGAAAATTATTTACCGCCAATTTGTCGCATGCGTAATGTAACGAAATGTTCGCAAAAATATGAATATTCTCAATGTAACTTCGATCTTTCCAGTCTTTATAATATTCAATATACCTATTATTACATATACATATACATTAAATTTTATTATATACATATATTATATCTAATTTCATTATACTACAATATTATTTTATATTTGCAGAATACTCAAAAGATACGATACGTGTTATATCCAGTTACTGGAAGCATCATCTGGAAAGTATCGAAGCAAATATCCAAATATTCGCGATTGTAAAAATAAATTCTCTGGCAATCAGATTACATTTTACGTCAAATTGAATCATGAAATAATTCGCAAATTCCTCTCTTTTGACTTTTACCGACTTAATCACTCGTAAAGAGTCCTACATTTTTCTCTGATGACTATTGAATGTAAATAAGTTTTTATCAGAAATTTTTGCTACCGTGGGAAAAACTCAATGGTCGAAAAATAAGATCCATTCTAATCAGAGTATCCTGAATCTATCACTACGGTCTCGTGGAACAATTTCTTGGAGAGTGGGTTGCTCGTCTTGTAAGTAGCTCCCCAGCTTGTTTCTAATGAATATTCGACTTCATTCGGGCTTTTAATCGGACTGATACATGGAGAGTGATCAAGGCTGGACCATTCGGAGATCATGCTCAATAGAGAACTACTTCTTGGTAGTGCAGATCTAGGTACGGGTATCCAATAAACAGTATCATCCCCAGCACTTTTCTTCTCTTTGGCTTCCAACGTGTCTTCTTTGAGGCATTCAGAAACGAATGTTTGATCGTCGTCGCTGTTCAGAGTCGGCGATCTTTGACCATAATCACTGTAATCCGTATCCTTGGGGAAGTTTGATGTGACGTAGGATTTTGTATCTGATTCGCAGAGGCTGTCTTCGTCGATTGTAGAACTTCTTGATAATAGGCTTGTCACTCCAGAAATGTCTCCCTTATCGAAAGCATTCACTATTTGCTTCACATAGCACTCTTTGTCATCATCTTGGCTATGACGAGGCTGCAACGATTTTCTCTTTTCTTTTTCATCCAAGTTTCGAACGATCTCTCGAACTATATTCTTCTTGCGATTCAATTGTTTACTCTGTAACGAAAGCTCTAAGTCTATGGAGTCACTCGATTCTTGGAAACTGCTCTGCGTTGAATTCATTTCGAAGATGAACGTCTTTTCCAAAAGATTCGGAGATATCTTCTTAAATCTTCGAATATTCTCAGACTTGTTCGACACATTCATTGACTTGTTTTCGAAAATCAAAGATCTCTCCAATATGCTGGGTGAAATATTCTTTTCTTTTGGACTATTTTCGATGATAGCAGGTGAAAATAGTTGGGCTTGAGAGAATTTTGGAGTAGAATTGGCACGAAGTTTGAAGAATTTTGGCTTTACATCTGGTCCATTTAAAGGAGTCGTCACAACTTCAGAAGCTTGAGAGAATTTTGGAGTAGATTTGGCACGATATTTGAAAAATTTTGGCTCTACATCTGGCGTACTTAAAGGAGTCGTCATAACTTCGGAAGCTTGAGAGAATTTTGGAGTAGATTTGGTACGATATTTGAAAAATTTCGGCTCTACATCTGGCGTACTTAAAGGAGTCGTCACAACTTCGGCAGCTTGAGAGAATTTTGGAGTAGATTTGGTACGATATTTGAAAAATTTCGGCTCTACATCTGGCGTACTTAAAGGAGTCGTCACAACTTCGGCAGCTTGAGAGAATTTTGGAGTAGATTTGGTACGATATTTGAAAAATTTCGGCTCTACATCTGGCGTACTTAAAGGAGTCGTCACAACTTCGGCAGCTTGAGAGAATTTTGGAGTAGATTTGGTACGATATTTGAAAAATTTCGGCTCTACATCTGGCGTACTTAAAGGAGTCGTCACAACTTCGGCAGCTTGAGAGAATTTTGGAGTAGATTTGGTACGATATTTGAAAAATTTCGGCTCTACATCTGGCGTACTTAAAGGAGTCGTCACAACTTCGGCAGCTTGAGAGAATTTTGGAGTAGATTTGGTACGATATTTGAAAAATTTCGGCTCTACATCTGGCGTACTTAAAGGAGTCGTCACAACTTCGGAAGCTTGAGAGAATTTTGGAGTAGATTTGGCACCATATTTGACGAAGTTTGGCTTTTCTAGTGTTTCTAAAATAGTCGTTACAGCTTGGGAATCTTGAAAGCTGACGTTCGTTTGTCTATTCTCTCTTCTTTTGTCTATTATCACATCGACGTTTCGTAAATCTTCAGTCTCAGTAGTCCTATCAACGTTAAATGGTCGTTCCTTTAAAACAAACGTCTTTCTTCTATCGTCACCGTTATAGTCGTCATTACACATGTCTTCATTTGGAAATTCAATCTTCGGACCGGGTGGAAAAACGATATTTATGTTTTGGATTTTTCTAGAAGGCGACATTTTAGGAAAAGTCTTGGAAATTTGTCTAGGGAACTTCATTACCGGAATGTTCACGTCCAATATTTCTTCCTTGGGTGAAGAAGACTTCGTCGAGGATCTCGTGTGTTTAGTTTCTGGTAATATTTGCCGACAAAATGTTTTGTTGTTGTAGGATGTTATAGGCGGTGCCACTTTCTTAGCTTTTTCGTGTACATTTTCCTTCACATGTGGAGATATATCTGAAATTCAAAGTTCTATTGTTAATATAACACAGTCAATATAACTGACATACTTCTTTAAAAAAAGACCATGACTTACAATTAAAAAATCTGTCATTTGTTATCTCTACATTATTATAAGAATCGAACATTAACAAATACCTATTGAATCGGAAGACGATGAATTTGATATATAGTTTCTTCTGAAAGTAGGATTCTTCCATGATGGTAAACGATATTCAATCGGCATGTCTTTTAATATCCTTCGTGGATTCGAATATTTGTTTAAATACCAATTTGTGGTGGAAATTTTTTTAAGAGACTGCTGAATTTTTAATTCGGTTTCCGTCAATTGCCTATTCTATTAAAGAAAAATAAGAAACAAAAATTATTAAAATATTCAGATCAAATAAAACTTAATTCTATAATAAAAATCATGTATACGTAAAATTCCTCGACGTTCTAATATTAGTGATTGCAAACTAATTAATAATACAATTGATGCTCTGTGGCAAAAGAGTAACGATAATTAACGTATTGAATACGTATGAAATACAAAATAAAATTGCAAAGGGCTAAGGGAAATTTATTCAACGAAGCTGAACAAAATTTAATTATTGATTAAAGTTATACATTTTCAAAAGTCCGTTAAAATCATAATACATAAATTAGTTAAATAATTTTTCTTCGATTGTATCACGTATATTCGATAGTCTGTTCGAGGTCAAAGTAAATCACAGAATGTCAGTTACAAATTATGACAAATAGTACATTTCGAATAAGAAAACCATTTGATAAGGAAGAAATTTGCAATCACAGATTCAAATTCATAAAATCAACTTACGCGTTCATTGTCGACAAACAGCATATTATTTTTAATCCACTCTACTGCCATTTTTAATTAACAATTATCACCAAAACGAACAAGTGAAAATCACCCAAAAATCGAAAGGACTAGAACGGAAAACCAATCTTCTAACGCACCTTCCCGTAAATAACATGCCAACCCTCTGTGAGCTTCTTAATATAGTCGACTGGATCCAAATTCCCCCACTTCTGGAACAAGACGAATATTAGACGTGGATTCTTATTTCCAAGTACAGTTATTTGCAGTTTCTAGGAATCCTCGAAGGGTGCTTAGAGACTCCGTACCTGCAAATAAAGAATTACGAGACTACCTCGAGAGGTTTTATTGTAGCTTACTTGAGAGATCCGATTATCTTTTGAAGTAGCTTGCTAACATATTTTATACCGCTCTTTTACCTGGTTTTATTAGGGTTCATCGTAGTCATAATGAAAATGGGAAAGTTTAATTGCTTTCCCTTGGACACAGGGTACTTTCCTTTTTAAAACTTCTTAAATCCAAAACCCGAATTTCCGGCTTTTGTTTACCTAGCGTGAACGTCTGAGGGCGTGAATCGTGAGTCTTCTGTTTATGAAACGTCAATTCACTCTTCCTGTTTACAAAGTTTTCAGTTGTATCGAGCATCGTCAACTGCGATGAACGTCTTCGATAAACTGAGTTTTAGTTATTGTATAAATTACAATATGAAGCTGGAATTTGTTGAATGTGGCGATGAGTATTTTCGCGAATATAATATCATCAATATACACGGTGATACGGAAAATGAAAATAATAATCGATAGGATTGTGTAACAAACTCTTGAAAATTTCTTGAAAATACTCGTTACTCATTTATTAAGTACCTTTGAATGCTGTATGAGGACCGAGGCTATATGTAAAGTATATATATGCAAAATCGTGCGGGTCACAATGTGTTTATTTTCTGATATTGGGCGGGCAGTCTTTTAAAGTCTTAAAACTGAAACTATTTAAAACTAAGAAAAGCTTAGAAAGTCTTTTACAGTGTTCGTACTTTAATCTCATTATTTGATGTAATATAAATTGTTTGAAAAAATTTTAAAGACGAAGTAATAAAATTAAGGATATTCGCTACATTAAATAAAGTTACTATGTATATATATAAGATAAATAAATGAAATAAGGTTTAGTAAAAAAAATTAACAATTTTTTTTATATGTTTAGAACGGAATTAAATGAGTTTTACTATTTATGGTGGGTATATAACTAACTATTCTTAAAATGCAGATATTGCAGGACAAGGGAGAAGAACTTAAGATAAAAGTATAAGCACGGTCGCCTAATCCGCTGCCAACAATAAAATAGCCAGCCATGCAAAATGCAATAAATTGTTCAAGATGTATACCTGTTCCTTTCCATAAATTATCCCGTTACTGTCGTTGTAAATTTACTGTTCTGCGCTAAAGTCAATATTCGTTGTCCTATACTTCAGCTACGTTAAATAAACATTTGTATGCATAAACATATTGATAAAATATCATTTTTTGCATTTTCATAAACTTTGCACATGTTATTCTAATTATATGTAACGAGAACGATTTGCGTGAACTATTCCAAGTTAATAACTGTTGAAACATCTAATTAAAATTATAATGTTCACCTCTGTTGGAAAATGCTTACGTACATTTGCATGTGCATATAACTCACATGCCTATACAACACCTTGTTTAAGATAACCTACAAAAAAGTGATAATAAGTGAAACTGGTTGAGAAAGTTCATAATGTTTAGAAGATAATTGATAATTACGAGTGTAAAGAATTATCGAGGGCAATAACCTGTTGCATAATTGTTTAATTAAAGTTTGATGCAATCACAGTCGATGCGTGTTATCATAAATGTCCGTAACATCTTCTCGAGTATAAAAGATGGGTAATAATCAACGATTTTTCGCCAAGATCAATTGTATTTCTATTGTTTCTGTAATTATTACATATCATGTAATTATAGTCGAAGAAAAGTTGGCAAAGAACTCAGAAAGCGCAATATTATTATACAGTCCTTATTAAACTTTCTAACATTTCCTCGATTTTCGCGCGAATTAAACGCGAAAGTGACGACAATACATTCTCCTTGAGTATCGTAGTGGTGCCTCCACCGCAGCAGCGAATTCAAACCGTTAAGTAATGGAGGGAGATTTCAAAGTGGGGAGTTCACTTCGGTTGGACACTGTAGTCTCGTTTTACGAAGAGTATTCCGAGCATTCCACCACGATCTCGTGCAAACCGTGGCGTCCCATCTATCAAAAGGAAAGGAACAATTATTATTTTTTCTTCAAACGACAAGTGTTAAAGAAGATTTAACATAACACAGTAGTACCTTCATATTGTTAAAGATCGCTTAGAATGACAATACAATCCGATGTGATTTGTCAGTATTATTTATGGTGAAGAGTTTACCTCGTGCCATAACGGGACCAATCAAGCTAGAAGGAACAAAAGACGATTTCAATGAATTTCAGGTAAGGAGATTATACAGGTATAACTGCAGGAATCCTCGAAACTGTCATTATGTACTTGCATTTTTGTCAGTCCTATGTTTATATATAGGGTTATATATACCAAATATATATACAAAGTGTTCTACTTTTTTCTCGCAAAACTTTATCAAGATTTCCATGGGTATAAATAAAAAAATAAATGTTATTCATAATAGAGGTTGTTTGAAACTTTATCGAAAAATTATATGGAAATGGGGAATACGAAGAGAACAATATTTAAGCTTCGACGAACTTACAAAATCACTAAACTTTCTATACATGGGAAATTTTGAAAGAAGAAAATATATCATATAATTATTGTGTGAAACATGTCAAGTGCTTTAGTAAATGAATAATAATGAATAGCTTAATTAGTATTTATCGTAGATATTTAATAATTTCATTTTAAATATTTTTACTTGTTTTAGAATATAATCTATAATATATTTCATCGTATTCGAAGAAATAATGTTTAGAATATTCACCATTTTAAAGCAATTCCGTAGGATTATAGTGTTATAATTGTAAAAAGGGTAAGCTAGAGGCCGCGAGACATGAGAGTGAAAGCGGGTTTCCTTTAATATACAGTATAAAGACAGGCGAAGAAATTGATTTCCTTTCTTTTGATATACGTGGGGAGTAACATTAATGCACCATGTAAAACTGTATCTTTTTTATTACTCGAATCATTATTACTATCAAATAACGATTATTAACTTTTTCTACAAAAGTATATGATATTATTTACAATATAATAAAGTAATAATATACGATAAATATATTAATAAAATAATCATATCTTTATTTGAATTAGTAGAATGACACGACAGCTATTATTGGTACGTCAGCTTTCACAATCACAAAGCGACCTTCGAAGAATTTTATGCACAGGTAAGAAAATAACGTAATAAATGATCGCTTTCTTACATTCATTTAAATATCATTATCATATCATCTTCATTGAAAGGCGTTCAGCGTAAAGCACAACATACAGACTTCAGTTTCTAAATCATGTCACGCAATTTCTTTTGAAAAGATTAATAAGTGAAAGAATTTTTTTATGAAAGTTACTTGGTGTTGATGGTAGAATATTTTCACTTGAAATGTAGCTTGTAATTTTCTTTTCTAGCAGTACGAATGAAATCTCATGCCGGTCTGTTTGTGATCACTGATTTATGATTGCCTTGAAACGACTTCAGGATTGTGTAAATGTCACGCCCAAGGTCTCTTAATACTTACTTTCGAAATGGACTCAATGTAATCAGTATCGAGACTGATTATTTATGTCTCGTTATAATAAAAAAATAGAATATCTTTTATTCCATATAATTTATCCAATAATGAATTTAGAATAAGATTCTTTCACAAAATTATTATTATATTATAATATAATATAATATAATAATATTAATTAAAGTGTGAAGAACAATTTTAGCAACAATTCTTTAAATATTTCTATTATCTTCGTACAAAATGTAGTTCGTTTAATTTTTTTGAAGACCTTCGAAATACATTGGCAGTGCGTTCGACCTTCATATCGAATTCAAAGTGCGTCCGTCTTCCAGACTTTTCATTGTCCAGTTCCATGCATTCGTACAGGTGCAGTGACCTCGACGACAAGGGAATGCACGATCGATCACGATGCAACGATCGAAGTGAAGCCATACGAAGACATACCAGGACCAACGCCGGTACCAATTTTGGGAAATACTTGGCGATTATTTCCAATAATCGGCCAATACCAAATATCAGACGTGGCGAAATTGTCGCAGATATTCTACGATGAGTACGGGAAGATCGTTCGTTTGACTGGTTTAATAGGTCGACCGGATCTGTTGTTCGTTTACGACGCTGACGAGATCGAGAAGATTTATAGACAGGAAGGACCGACTCCATTTAGGCCGTCTATGCCGTGTCTGGTGCATTATAAGAGCGTCGTGAGGAAAGATTTTTTTGGAAGTCTTCCTGGTGTCGTTGGAGTGTACGTAGACATGATATTATAGGATGTGATGATGATAAAGTAGAGCGGTCTCTCCATTATTAGTACTCAAGTAGTGCTCTATATCACGAAATCTGTTTGAATAACAATTGATGATTTGAAAAATAAGAAATTCATTAAAACTATGGTTACAACGGATGCATCTCTGATGCAATAAAAGACGTACATTGGTTCTTATAAGAGCAGTTATATCGTATGCATTTCTTATTTCAGGTGTTTCATTCGTCAATCGCATTTATTGTAATTATGATCTTCTCTCGTCCACCTGCAGTACTATTCGCTTAAATGGCCACAACTCAAATATTAACATTATGTATCGTAAATGATAGATCGTAAAATAGATGCTGTGACCATTAATTTGTTAACTGAGAAAGTCGTCACTTGGATTACTAATATTTTGTACATAATAATGTATACAACCAGGAATCTTTTATCTTTAATACCTATTGTTTATAGTACAGGGGAAAAGCAATACACTAAAACTTGATTAAAATTGATGCGCAAACGATCAACTGTTAATTTCGTTATTAAAGAAGTTTCTGAATAATCAACAAGTTATATGTATTGTTCAACGAACTCTCATACTAAAGGAGAAGTTTGCTTATGCATTGCGCGTTCTAAAAAGCGCATTAGCACTAGCACGACCACTGTTTGGACTATACCAACATTGCCCGCTTATAATTAAATTTTATGTCAACCTTCTGCTAACCACGAGTGGTTTTCCTTGACCTTGAAACCATTCATAAAACACTACGCGTAGAAGGAATGACGTAACGCATCAATAACGAATGACATAATGGAACATTTACACTTCTTCGCAGACACGGTGAGCCATGGAGAGAATTTCGTACGAGAGTCCAGAAACCTGTTCTCCAACCGCAGACGGTGAGGAAATACATAACGCCTATTGAGATGGTTACGTCTGATTTCATACAGAGGTGAGTTTGCATTCTCATAAACACTGCGAGACTCGCAACTTCTCGATTTTTAATTAATTTAATTGTTGAAGATTATCGAATTGTCGAATTTATAAGTAAAAGCTTTCGACATTGTGTTTAATCTGGAGAGATAGAAGTAAATAAACAGATATATAAAGATAAAAAAAGAAGTAGAGATGTTTTATAAAAAAATTTAAGATACAACACGACTTACAGCATCGCACAAAGACGTGATTGATGATTATTTTCAGAATTCAGGAGATTAAAGGAGAAGATGACGAATTGCCAGCAGACTTTGATAACGAAATACACAAATGGGCTCTAGAATGTTGGTAGAAAAATTGTTGCTTATACGTCTATAATCGTAATCTTATGAAATTAAAAATTAATCGTTCTGTTTAATTGTACAGGTATAGGTCGCGTCGCCCTTGACGTGAGATTAGGGTGCTTATCAGGTAATCTGACACCGGATTCGGAGCCTCAAAAGATTATCGACGCGGCCAAATTTGCTTTGAGGAACGTAGCAGTGCTTGAATTGAAAGCTCCTTACTGGAGATACGTGCCCACCCCTCTGTGGTCACGATACGTACGAAACATGGATTACTTCATCGAGTAAGCGAAATTTTACTGTTATTTTCGCTAAAATGTAATAAGAATTATAACCGATTTTTAAATAAAATTTGTCCGTTCACCAGAGTATGTATGAAATACATCGATGCAGCGATGGAGAGGCTGAAAACAAAAAAATCTGTTGACGAGTTTGACTTATCTTTGGTGGAAAGAATTTTAGCCAAAGAAAGTGACCCTAAAATGGCTTATATTCTGGCCTTAGATTTGATTTTGGTTGGAATAGATACCGTACGTAAAAACGAGTACTTTTTTGTTATATTACGGAATATTTAATATACAGAGTATTAAATATTAGTGTTGTATTATAGATTTCAATGGCTGTTTGTTCAATATTGTATCAACTGGCAACTAGACCGGAGGAACAGGAAAAAATTTATCAGGAGCTTATAGAAATTCTTCCTGATCCATCTGTACCTCTTACTACGAGTCATCTCGATAAAGCTATTTATATGAAAGCCTTTATTCGTGAAGTTTTCCGGTATAATTAATCGCTTCGCGAGCATCTAAATTGCATGGATAAATGTAACACTAGAAGAATACTTTATAATTTCTCGTTAAAAAAATATCGTATTTGTTTTAGAGTATATTCTACAGTGATTGGAAACGGTAGAACATTACAAAATGACACCACAATTTGCGGCTATAGAGTACCAAAGGGGGTCAGTACAGGTTTACAGTACATATACAGATATATAGCGCAAATTTTATAATAGCGATACATCTACCGTGCACTTTATTGTAACATATTAGACTCATAACTATCTTATTGTAGGTGCAAGTCGTGTTCCCAACTGTGGTAACGGGAAATATGAAACAATATGTAACAGATGCAAAAACGTTTAAGCCAAAGCGGTGGTTAAAAGAATCTTCTAACGAAACTTTGCACCCTTTTGCATCGTTACCTTATGGTCATGGCGCACGTATGTGTCTAGGTAGAAGATTTGCCGATTTAGAAATACAAGTTCTGCTTGCCAAAGTACGTACAAAAAATGTTTTCCACTTTTATAAAAAAGTTGCTGTCGTATAATATATATGTCGGATTAAGGTTGAAATTTTGGGAGGGGGG